ATATATAAAATGTAGGCTTCATCCTATCAACAGAAGGCTTAAAGAAAACAAAGAAGAACAGCCTGCCTGAGAAAGAGAGACTCCTCCAGCTGACTGCAGGCTTTATATGCAACAACAGCTCTTCATGGTTCAACAGCAGACAGACTTTGGCCTCAAACTGAGACATTAGCTTTTCAGCTTAAGGGCTTCTAGAACCATATGAGGCAATTCCTTATAGTTAACCTATATACATACATATACACACATATGCTATTGGTTCTCTTTCTCTGGAGAGCCTTGAAACCTGATAGGCAGTGAAAGGAGAATTCTCTAAAAAAAATTGGAAGAATCATCTGGGAGATTCCCCAGCAACATAAGACTTTACAGTGAAAGAGTCTTGCTCATGAACACAAGTTTTGAATCATCACTTTAGTACACACAAATGAGCTCATTCCTAGGAAGGGGAGCAACCCAAAAACCATGCTCACCAACCCTTAGGATGATACCCAATGCCACCTTCTTGTTACAAAGATTGTTTCTAAGAGAGCCCAGCATATGAGATATAATAACATGCCTGCTTAACTTCTCACCAGAAAGGCAATTTCTATGCTTTTGTTTCCATCATAGAGCATTGAGAGACATGTATGGGGACAAATAGGATAAAATCTTTGTCAAGTATCATAAATTTATATATCCAAAACATTGCTTGCACAGTCTTTTACTGTTATGTAAATCAGGTTACATACGAACATACACAGCCCTGGTTTGATATTGTTGGCCTTGCCAAAATTCCCCAAAACTAAGTTAATCAAAACAATATTATAGGCCCAGGGATATATCTCAGCAGTAAAAGTACCTGCCTGGCAAGCACAAGGTCCTGAGTTCCAATCCCCATACCAAAAAAAAAAAAAAACCCCAATATTATAAATGTTATCTTTATAAATAGGTGTTAATAGTGAAAAATTTAGTAGTGTACTATATAGAATGTTAGTGATAAAACCATATATTTAATGTCTGGGTTTAAAATTTTTTGGCAATAATAAATCATTTTTTAACTTGAAATTAAACTATTTTTCAGTTAACACAAGATATCAAGATTTTGTAATAAAATTGTTCTCATTTCTTTTGATATATTTTGCTGTAACATGAGAAAATATACATCTTTTCACAATTTGTACTAATGTGAAATCAAATTCAATTTATACAACAATATTACCACTAACATGCTCAGAGAACAAAGAGAAGATAACACTCCCATGGAACCAATATAGGAAGCTATAAAACAGTAACTTTAATTGAACTGCATGTACTAAAAGGAAATCTCACAATAGAGGAGCATGCATATGTTCTGTGTGTGTTCCACTCAATGTGAATGCCTTCAGGTAGGCCATGATGGCTTCAGTTAATTGTTTATATCTAAAACTTCATAGATCTCTGTTACCTGGCAGGTATAGTGGAAATAATAATGTAAGAGAGCTCTATGGACAAGCAATAATGTTCAGAGAGTATATTAAAGTTTAAATATCTATAAGAAAATGTCTTGAAATACTTGCCTAGATGTATCCACCAAAACTATAAATTCACAAAATCATTTCTTGCCACTCTTTAATACTATTCTACCATAATAACCCAGCTCTTTAATCAGGGATTGTTGCCTGACATCTACATGTCTTTGTTTATGCTGTTCCTTCTGTAAGGAATACCTTTATTTCCCTCCTTGGCCTACTTAAATCCTATGAATCCCAATTTTCTTTCAGCTATCACCACTCCTAAGTTGGTCCGCAGGTTGTGGGTTATTGTTATCAATTGATTAACCACTCCTACTTATTATCCAAACTGACTGTTTTTCTTGGAAGGGGCAGTTTTACATTTGCTTCTTTGTGGTCCTTGGTATGAAAACAGGGACTTGTGCTACCCAAGTAAATGATATATGACTGAACCACAACCCCTGGACCCAATCATGATGTTTTATTTCATTGATTGATATCTCCAGAAAATAAATTCCTTGAAAATAAATGACTCATTTAATTTTGTATTTCCAAAGCCACACTCAGTACCTGGTACACATTAACACTGACTAGTCTTCGATCTCTTCAGCACTCACCATTTTGGCCTGAAGATCAAGCAGCTTTCTTACACGAAATGGTTTGACTAGGAAAGGTAAAGAAAAAGGTTCTATGCCTTTGGTTTAGAAAAAGAAGAAATGAGTTATATTTAACTATTATTACTTCATATAATTTCTTCTTACAATACATCAAGAAAATAAATACCCTGTTCAGGTGGACCATTAAGCAGATGCTCGTAAATAAAAGTATGAAAAAGCAATTTACACAAAATGAGTACTATCATATAAGTAATACTAATAGTTATTTTAATTTTACAAACTACAAAACAAATAGTAATTCAACAGAGTAAGTAGGGCCAGGGATATAGCCCAGCAGCACAGCGTCTGCCTGATTCCCAGTACCAAAAAAAAAAACCAAAACAAAACCCAAAAAAACAATCAACAAAGTGAACGTAATGCAACTGGAATAAAAATACTCACCATTGTCTTTTTTGGTGAGTAAATACAGCAAGTGGCAGACATAAGGGCACTGTGAAAATAAAAAAAAAATTAAAAGAGAAATGGTAATATATCTTAAACAAAGCAGTAATATAGTCACCTCAAATATGAATCTTATGCTAAGTAAAAAGGTTTCAAGATGGCTTTATAAAGCTTCTCCTTTTTTATACTACATTCTTTAGCCAAAATTGTTGAGATCAGAAGTGATTATGAGTTCTGCTTTCTTTAGATTCTAGAATATTTGCATATATATGAGATATCTTGGGAATGAGGCCCAAGTCTAAAAACAAATTCTTTTCTGTTTTACATAAACCATAGAAATATAGCTTGAAGCTATTTTTATTCAATATTTTTAGTGTGCCTATTTTGACTTCAACTTGTCACATGGAGCCAAGCATGGAACAGTCTACTTTAAGATACAGACTTAAAATATTTACTGGGATTTCTTACTTAAAAGCATTTTCGCATGTCTTCAAAATTATCATTGTCAATGATGCCTCATATTTCAGCAGTATAGACACCATAATTTCTTTGTGGGTGAGGATCAAATCCAGGGACTTGCACATGCTGAACAAATACATAACCCCAATCCAGATATACTGCCATTTAATTAAAAGCTTAATCCTCACTTTTGGAAATATCTACTTGATAAATTAGTTAAATCACAAAATGATTTTTTGAGGCCTGTCCATACTGATTTCCACAGTGGTTATACCAATTTATACTCCCACTAACAGTGGAGAAGGATGCCTTTTTTCACTACACCTTCACCAGCATTTGTTATTGGTTGATTTCTGATGGTAGCCATTCTTTCTGGAGATGGAATCTGAGTGTCATTTCAATTTGGAATTATTGAAGGACTAGTGATGTTGTATATTTGTTCATACATTAATTTGCCTGTACTTGTTCACCTGCGAAGTATTCATTTCAGATGCCAATATTTGCATTAGGTCTTTAAATTTGGAGAGTCTGATGTTTTGAGTTCTTTATGTATTCTAGGTATTTGTCCTTTGTCTGAAGAACAGCTGGCAAAAAAAAATTTCCCATCCTGTGGGTTGTCTCTTCTCTCTGTTAGTGGTTTTCTGATGTGCAAAAGCTTTGTAATAGGTTGAGATTCCAGTTGTTGACTCTTTATTACGTTTCTTGTGCAATCTTGGTGTTGTAGTCAGGGCTTACAAGGGAAAAGATTTAATATAGGATACATAATTTATAGAATTATTTTATAATGTTCACCCAAAAAATCAAATGCAAAAGAGTGCAGCAGATCTGTCCACACACTAAAGACTCAAAGAAATCCAGCTGAGGGCCTGGATCCCATGGCAATGTCCTGCATGAGTGCAGCTGAAGACTGAGAGCCCATGGCAATGTCCTCCACGAGTCCAACTGGAGGCCTAGAGCCAACAACGTCTCATGCAAGTCTGTATCAAGGATTTGCACTTCAAAGGCCCAAAGGCCAGTGGTGGAAGCTAGAAAGTCTGCACCAGCAGGATGAAGGATGCGTGTCAGCAGGCTGAGGGATCTGTACTGGAGCCAGGAAGCAATGCTCAAAGTAAGGATCAGAGCTTCCCCAAAAAGAACTGCAGCTATCCTCTGGGACAGCATGGTCCCAACCTCCTCCTATGATGACAACAGCTGAGTTCCTACCAGGAAAACCAGCATGACACACTTCTCCAGAAGAATCAACAGCACACCATCTTCCTAGTTCTCTTCTTATGCTGTTGGCAACAATCCTCAGGTGGGCTTTCCACACCCAGAACCAGGATGATTCAGTTCAGCTGGGTATTTTAAGTTGACCATTAGTTAATCCACCACACAGGATTTTTTTTTTTCAGAAAGTCTTTGCCTAAACCTATGTCTTCAAGAGTTTTACCTATCTTACCTTCCAATAAGTTAAATGTTTCTGTTTTAATATTTAGATCTTTGATCTATTTTGATTTTAGTTTAGTACATGCTGAGAGATATGGGTGTAGGTTTAATCTTTAGCATGTCGAAGGCCAGTTTTCCTAACATCATTTATTAAAGAGGCCATCTTTCTTCCACTGGAAGCATTTGATCCTGTTGTCAAAAATAAGGTGGCCAAGTATGTTTGAAGTTGTTTCTGGATCTTCTATTCTGTGCTCCTGATCTTTAGGTCTGCTTTTTTGTTTGTTTCTGCTAGTGCCATTCTGTTCTTATCATGGTAGCTTTGTAGTATAATTTCAAGGTGGGGATTGTGATGTTCCCTGCCTTGCCTTTGTTGCCTAGAATTGGTTTTGCAATTTGAGGTCTCTTCTAGTACCAAAGGAATTTTAGGATTGTTTTCTGTAGCTCCTTGAGGTATGCTATTGATATTTTGATTGGCATTGCATTAAATCTGTACAACAGTTCTATTTGACCCAGCTATTCCCCTTCTTGGTATCTATCTTACTATCATCCTAAAAGGGTTAAAAGCATCATACCACAGCAATATATGCACACCCATGTTTATAGCAGCACAATTTGTAATAGCTAAAACTTGGAGACAGCCCAGAATCCATCAAAAGATGAATATATAAAGAAAATGTGTTTTCTATAAACAATGGAGTGCTATTTGGCCATAAAAGATAAAAGTGAGACATTTTTAGGTAAATCAATACACCTTGAAAACAAAATGGAAACAAAACTTTTGTAAATAAGGAAGGGCAAGCAGGGTTGGACTGTGGGGGGGTAATGGGTGAATCAAGATGTATTATGTATAGGTACAAATTTCCTATGATGAATGTGATCATTATATACCTCAAAAGTGTACCAATAAAATTAACCTCTAAAAAAAAAAATCACAGGAAGACCAATTATTCAATATTTCTTTTGAGTGCCCATCTACTGAATTCTTCTATATCAAGGTTCAGCATTCCATGGTTTACCTGCTTTTATAAATAAAGTTTTATTGGATTACAGGCTTTATGTTTATTTATGTATTGCCTACAGCTGCCTTTGCTTTAGTTCAGCAGACCTGAGGGCTTGGGGTAGAAATAGTAGGGCTCTGAATCCTATAGTATTTACTATCTAGCTGTTTAAGAAAAAATTTATCAACATTTGTGATAGATGGGCTGGGGATATAGCTCTGTGGCACAAGCGCCTGCCTGGCAAGCACCAGGTCCTGAGTTCGATCCCTGGTACCACAAAAGAAAAAAAAAAAATTGTGATAGATGACATAAAGCAAAGAAGTAAATTCTTTAAAGGAAATAGAGAAAGAAAAAAACACAAAGACTTTTTTTCAATAAATTTGAATTCTGAGGATGTCCACTTTCACTATTCCTGTTTAATACATCACTTGAAACATTAGCCAGAACAAGCAAGCAAGAGAAAGAAATAAAAGGAATACATATAGGGAAGGAAGAAGTAAAATGATCCTTATTTGTAGATTACACGATTTTTCACATAAACAGATCTAAAATGCTCCACTAGAAGATTCCTAGAACTACAAAAAAATTGTCAGGTAACAGAATACAAAATAAACACACACAAAAAAGTGTTCCTATAAGCCAATAATCAACAGAGAAAGAAATTAGAAAAACAGGGCTGGGGATTTAGCTCAGAAGCACAGCGTCTGCCCGGCAAGAGCAAGGTCGTGAGTTCGATTCCCAGTACCGGGAAAAAAAAAACAAACAGAAACTAGAAAAAGAATAGCTTTCACAGTAGCTTAGAGGGCCGGGGATATAGCTCAGCAGCACAAGTGCCTGCCCAGCAATCTCAAGGTCCCGAGTTTGATTCCCAGTACCAAACAACAACAACAACAACAAGAACAACAACAAAACACAACAGCTTAGAAAAAAAAAAACTTAGAAATTAACCTAACAAAGGGAGTGAAAGACCTCTATAACAAAAACTACATATAATACTCTGAAAAAGGAGATTGTAGGAGACATCAGAAAATGTAAAGATATTTCCTGGTCTTGACTAAGCAGAACCAATAGTGTAAAAATGGCCATGTTTCCAAAACTGATACACAGATTTAATGCAATCTCAATCAAAATACCAATAGCAGTCCTCACAGAACTAGAAATAACAATCTTAAAACTCATATGGAATCACAAGAGACCCAGAAGAGAGAGAGCAATTCTGGACTTGGCCAAGGCAGGGAGCACCATGATTCTGAATTTCAAGTTACATTACACAGTTACAGTGATAAAAACAGTATGGTAATGGCAAAAGTAAAACCAGACTTGTGGATCAATGGAACAGAACAGAAGATATAAAACAGAAGATACAGAAGAGCATATACAACTCCAGGCATACTCAGGTATATTGTCTTTGACAAACAGGCCAAAACCTTTTGCTGGAGGAAAGATAGCCTCATTAATAAATAGTATTAGAAAGACTGGCTGTTTCCATGAAGAAAATTGAATACAGACTCACATCTATCACCAGGTACAAAAATAAAATCAGCATGATTTAAAGACCTAGATATTAAAACAGAAACAGTCTGATAAGATAAAATAGTCAAAATTCTTGAAAGCATAGGCACAGGTTAGGACTCTCTGAACAGAACCCCAATTGCACAAAGAATAACATCAAGAATCAACAAATGGAGCCTGGGGTAGTGGCATAAGCTTGTATTCCAGAACTCAGAAAAAAACCCAATAGAATGAAGAAACACACTACAAAAGAGGAAGAAATGTTTGCCAGCTACTCCTCAGACAGAGGATTAATAAATATATAGAATACATAAAGAATTCAAAAATATCAAATCCCCCAAATAAAAGAGCCAATCAAAAAATGGGCAACTGAAGTAAAGAAACTTCTCGGAAAAAAACATATGTGGCCAATAAATACATGAAAAAATGCTCAACATCTCTGGCAAATTAAAACAACACTGAGATTCCATCTTACCCCAGAAAGAATGACTATCATCAAGAAATCAAATAATAACAAATGTTGGCAAGGCCGTGGGGGAAAACGTAATCCTTCTATATTGTGGGTAGGAGCATAAACTACTACAACCACTACAGAAATCAGTATGGAGATTCCTCAGAAAACTAAAAATAGAAAGCCCAGCTATTCTCCTTCTAG